AGAAAAATTAAAACTTTTTTGGCTTTTTTTTTCTTTTTTTTCCCTTTTTTTTTTTTTTTTTTTTTTTTGGTGTGCTTTATTGTCTCAGGCTATCTCGTTTAGGGCAAAAGATCACAGTTCCAATTCATGTATCATCGGAATATAACCTCAAAATTGTATTATGGGGAACTTTGTTACCTGTGATAACAATTGTTGCTATTGAACAAACTATTTTGGGACCAAGACGCAAGAAGAAAGCAGCTGAGTATGAATCAACAACATTTACACTCATTTTTAATGTTTTACGAAACAAGCGCTTAAGAGAGTTTTATTTAGAAAATTAGCCATTCTTCGCGAACGTCACGCAGAGTTTATTTCTACTCGTAAGCGTGAGGCCGAGGATGCAATACGACTTCTGCAACCTTCCGTAGAACGTAAGATAGAAGCTGAAATGACTAAGAATAATGGTCTTATCATCTTAGAGGCTTGGTACGGCAATTTTTCACACATAAAAGAAGCTTCGACAGAAAATCATTATGACGACGTTTTTGACGTCAAAATACCAATTCAGGCACTGGTATTTGAATCTCAATTAATTATTCCTGGAGGCCGTTCTAAGGTAAACCTTTTATTAATTAAATGGTAATTTGGCTTTATCGTAAGATAACATTTTATATATTGCAGTCGAATATCATTGGATTTTATGATCCATGTATGGGTGAACGCAAGCAACTAAAAATAAAATACTATTTTCAACGCAAACTGCATGAAGTTATAGTAGAAGATAAGGCTCCTGTAGCATGCCCTTTAAGATGTAAGTATTCAATAAATAAAATATCATGTAGATTCACAATCTTTTATGCTAGCTCAAAAAAATTCTTTATGTAGCTCACATTGTTCCAAACGACTAGGGATGGGGTCGGCTTGGCTTTTAAAGTAAGTTGGCTCAAGCCGGTTCAAGTAAGTTAGCTCAAGCTGGCACATTATTTACAGCTGTTTTAGAATGATTTTTCTGTTGATATAATAAAAGTTATTTTTGTATTATTAATGATTTGTTTGACAGAATGTTATAACAATAATATCAATGTTATCAAATTTTTTCGTTTGAATGCTTGTCTGACATATTTGATGTGTTTAGTATGTGCGTTCTTGTCAACCAATAAATCTTGACAAGAAATATAAAAGCAGCTTCAAATATAAAATAAATTTTTATAACATATTACACGAATAGGGACTAATATTAAACATATTTTATATCGTTCGTGTTGAACAGTTCTTCTAAAAGCGATGGAAGTTCTTCATATATTCATGTGCTTGAAAACCGATTTGTCAATTTTTTTGAACTGACAAACTTTTCATTACTTGCCATGCTTAATACTTAACACTTAATGCTTAACGATTGGCAACTACAATTAACGTTTAGCGCTAAGTAGATTATGCTTAGCTGTAATGATTAACAGTTAGCCCTAAAGATATTAAAAGGTTGTAAATTTTCTCAAGTAGATATTAGACACAGATATTCCTCTTTCAAATTCGCTTTTTTGTCATCTTTTAGAATTCTTTAGAGATAAAAACCTAAGGATAGCCTATTCTTATATTTCTTAATAAATATATATTTTATTTATAAACTTTTGTCTATTTGAACTGTTACAGAGAGAAGGGTATAATTTTTTATAGATATAAAAATTATATAATTTGGCAGTTCTGTCACTTTTTATTTGCAGATTAAACTATACTAAGAAATTTACATTCCCTAATAATAACTATACTAATCCACCTGAAAAGTAGCTTACCCATGTTTTTGCCAGATATGACTTGCCTCAATAGACTTTAAACCTCTCTTCAGATGCCTAACTTACTAGAGGTTATCCTTTGGTCATGAGCTGGTGTTATATACTATATCAAAGTTAGCTTTCTTTTTTACAAAATGAAATACAAACACAAATACAAAAGGCATAATAAAAATGGGGTAAATATCATGGCATCAAATTTTGGTTTACCTAAATCAATAAAACCAAATAAAACAAATAATGAAAAAAAGGGAAAAAAAGAAAAAAAACGCCAACATAGTTTTAATTTTTCTCCAATGCACTATTAACATCCTTAAACTACTTACAAGATTTCGAACAATTATAGATCACCTGCATCTAAAAGTGATCCCACTGGGAATTCCGAACTCAATAGCAATCGCCAACTTTGTATTTTCAGCAACTTTACGTTCACCAAGGAGTATTGCAGTCAGACCACTATTAATGAACGAAATTTTAAAAGCCAATACGGTTTTAATGAATAAATAGATATATGAATTATTTTCATACCTCGACGTTGATAAAGTAGTTACTGCTCTGATTTGATAAATATCAAGTAATTTACGATTGTAATTTGCAGAAATATATGAATGTGCTAAGCCAGTCTATGAAATCAATCAGAAGTTTAAACTTTGGCTGATATAATAAAATGTAGACCTAACATAAAAAGCCATCACATACCTGCATTTCTAAACCATATCCAGATTTTTCCATAGCTCTGTTGATCCCAATGGTTACTGACGACCTTTCACGACGAGAATAAGAGTCATTTTGGCCCCAAAGACCTAAAGACCATGTACCAGTTTTGTATGAAAGGTAACCAGATGTATTGTCACCGAGTCGCCGACCAGCCATAAAAGATAAAATTGGTGGAGAACTGATCACTTGAGATTGCGCAGTCACTGTAAAAAAACTAACATAAAAAAAATAACATAAAAAAAATAACAACAATAAATTTACAAATTTAGATAATAACCTTATCAAAATTAATGATATATTATTATAGCTACTAAAAATGTTTGATACATACCCATCCGCGCCAAAAGTGTAATTGGCTTTTGCAGTCGTGATTCTTGGCTGAACTACAGACGATCCGACCTAATGCGACGAGTTCGGCCAGCTTTTCAACAAACTTATAGAAAAGAATATTTACGAATAACTAACTGGGGTTATTTTCAACGTACTTCAGCCCAAAAATATGGTGAAAATGTATGTCGTATGCTTCCAATAATATTCCCACCACCAACACCATTTCTTAGAATAGTTTGACCAACAACGAAAGCTTGTGTTTGCGGTTTTAATTGAGTCTTAAAAAAAAAAAGAAGATATATAAGCAAAATATTCTTAAACGCACACGGTACCTTACAGAATGAAGAGCACTTTACTTCAAATGAATGCTTCATAAATAGTTGGGTGACCTCAATATTTTCAAAAATACTTGAAATACCAGTTACGTTTTGGCGTTGATAAGGCACACTATCGTACGGATCAAACAACTGAGTGGCATCAATACTCAGCTGAATATCACCCTAATAAATTAATAATAAATTAATAAGAAAACATCTAATTTATTTAGGAAAAAAAGAACAATAAATATAAATATAAATTGAATAAATACTTTTGATTTCACCATGTTTTCCACTTCATGTTCTTTCTTTAATCTTGCTTGCCTTTCAAATTCTTCTCTTAACTAATAACAAGCGTTTTAAAACACGTAGACCCGGAAAATAAGAGGACTGCTGAGACCAACTTTCAAGTAATACAGCGAGCATATGAAGGTAAGAAGTATTAATTTAGTGCTTGCTGTGCTCATTTATATTTATTATTGAAAATTCTTATATATTTATAAAAATATGCAAACATTGCAACAGTTCTAACGGATCCTACCAAGAGAACAATATATGATATGTTTGGAGAAGAAGGATTAAACACCTCATGGGAAGTTGGAACTC